GTCTATGTATATATATATATATTATATATATATATATGTGCGGGGTTCGTGTGCTCACCTTCTTGCTGAACAGGTCATCAAGATGGGAGCGCGGCACACAAACCTGCAGGAAACACGTCTACATGTGGCGAAAACAGCCTACCACTTGTTCTCAATCAGCTTAGCTGGCATTCTTAGTTTGGACATTTTTGGGGGCCAATAGGCATCTACGGATATCAATGCTCATTTTCCTCAAACTCCCTTATACAAAAGCCTAGTAGCATCTGGGAGCAGCATCAAGGAGAAGACGCCCCGACGCGGTGACATGAGATCAAAATGGCCAAACATTTCGTCGCTACCCACTGCTTTCTGCCAAGAAAACAGGAGGTGAGCGACCACTTCTCCCGTTCCAAACAAAGAATCTTGAAGCATACTTGGGTCTTGGATGGCCAGAATTTGCTTGTGAGCAGCAGCCTGAATGGTAACCCGCAGCACTCCCCCAATTGTTGCTGCGATCCAGGCGAGATCCTTTATCTCAAAGGTCCCATGGTGCAAAACCTTCTCAATATCTCCACGCCGGCTGGGGAATTTTTTCATTGCCAAAGCACCTTGGAAGAGGACGGCAGCAGGGAAGCATTCTATGTTTATAAATATATTCTGCATTGTTTGTATATACCTATATATGTATGCAGTATCTGACATATTCATTGATCGCAACAAGCATCTACCTATATATATATAACTACAAAAATATATAGGTGCGTACAAAGCGTGTTGGTCTAGACAAAGATCAACAAAAAACAGCAGTGAAGGGCTACAGTAAGGGGTGCAGACATGAGTCAAACGTCAGCTGCAAATGCCTTGCTCTCAGCGACCTCGTTCGCATTTTGCCTAGCGCTCTTGGGATATCCTGCTGCATTCCTGGCAGTGGGCACGAGAGGAATAGCAACCAACTGGTGAAAAATAGAATCAACCGGAAGTCAACGTGGCAAAATGTCAGGACAGAGCTTGAAAACGGCAACCCACCTGTCAACTTAGAATGTATCATGAATCATGATCTGCAGTCCTCGGGACGGATCTGTAGCCCCTGATGTCTCGTGCAGCTAAGATCGACCTCAAGTCACAAGTCCGTCAGGAAAGCGCAACATCAAGGAAGGAAAGCAGCCCACAAAACTTGCTATATAAAATCCGCCCGCACCGAAGGTGCCGAGGCGTTTTTCTTGGCACGCATGATCCGTAAGCAATTGCAATAGCTATTAAGCTTTAGCTTAGGGGGGTGGCACTTTTGCTCTAGAATCGTGGATTTTTCCACGTTTTTGAGAAGGTCGTGAAATTGGCTCAGTTGCCAAACTTGGGCTCAACATGGCCCAAGATGGGCCCAACATAGGCCCAACATGGGCCCAACGTAGGCCCAACGTAGGCCCAACATGGCCCAAGATGCCCCAACATAGGCCCAACATAACCCCAACATAGGCCCAACATGGCCCAAGATGCTTCAACATAGGCCCAACATGGGCCCAACATAAGCCCAACATGCCTCAACATAGGCCCAACATGGGCCAACATGGTTCAACATGCCTCAACATAGGCCCAACATAGAGCCATCATGGGACCAACATACTCCCAACATACGCCCTACAAAGGCCCAACATAGCACATATGGATACATATGGTTTTATT